GACAGACTGAAGGGATGCATTGTACACGTAAACCTTCGGGGCAATAAAAATATGGCATCGGGCCCCATAGGCAATTTCTAAAGCCAGGAAAAAAGTCGACGAGCTGCATCGTTTCGGGAGACAATGTCACCTTTACTCTGTCCAGTTCGCAGCGACTTCACTCCGAGGTATTTGAAACTGTGTGTACTTCTTCAAGTTGACAGCCATTGGTCTCGAGAGGCGCCTTGTCTTGAGCGGGGATGCAGCGTGAAAACAGTTTGGTCTTCCCAGTCTTTGTGGACCAGGCGACTGATTTAGTGACCTGGTGACACCCTAGACTGCGGATCGCCAAAGCTTGAAGCTAGTAAAGTGATATCACGGACGTAATCCAGATCAGACAACAAGGATCATGATGGGGGTGGCACAGATATCCGATCTTCTGGATTTTGACAGCGGGCACGAAAGGGCGAGGAAAGAGTGCGTGCGGTAGATGCAGCGCAAGCCCTTTCGTTTGCTTTCAGCCTGCTTAAGCACGCAGTGGACATCGTTGAACTGTAGGTGAAGATAATGTTGGCGATAATAATGATCATCATCAGCATTTGAGTAGGGCTTTATTTCCTTCTCCTGTTTGTCTGTTTCTAGGCCCAAGGACTTATCCCTGCAACTCCTGCCGAAAGTCCTTCACCAAGAACTGCAATCTTAACTCTCACATCAAGGCCGTTCACAGAGGTGAGTCATTGTCTTTTGTCATATTTTTTACGATAAAAAAACCTTTTCAGTTGCATGTGACGTCAGTAAGTTGAAATGTCCAACAGTTTGAGGCCCCCCAGACTGGTTATTTGGATTCCAGTCATCAGATCGATCACTTATCATGAAGGCGGATCTAGCCGCGAATGGCTGAACATAAGGCAGTGATGTGTAATGACGCCAATCCCGCAGAAACTGCCCACACAGGCGAGATCGCGAACACAAATTTGGATTTTTCTGACTTTGTATTCTCCTTCACACGCATCATCTTTATCATCTGCCGTGGT